CGCTACTCTCGATATTTGGATCAAAGAAAGGTATTCCTGTTTTCACAGCAAGTCGCTTACAGAGATAAGCAACCGTACTGCTGGCTTACGATTTCAGTATACAATATCGAGCTACACAACAACTCGGCCAAGCTGACGCTCTATCTCGCCTCCTCGGTTCCCAATTGAAGGAAAACGATGACTGCGTGATTGCATCTGTCAAATTCGAGTCGGAAGTTCAGCGCATCCTGGTGGACAGTGTAAGGGAGTTGCCAGTAAGGTCGGACACGATTCGTGCAGAGACGGCTCGAGTCGATATCTTGCTGAAAGTGATAGGGTTTGTGCAGTCCAGTTGGCCTAATGTCAGGAATTCGAATGAGTTACAACCATTATTTACTCGACGCGGATCCCTTTCGGTCGTTGACCATTGTCTAATGTTTGGAGACCGAGTCGTGGTACAAAGGAAGTTGCGGAAGCGAATACTACAGCAGTTTCATTCAGGACATCCGGGAACCAGCCGAATGAAGGCACTGGCGCGAAGTTTGATGTATTGGCCTCAAATGGATGCAGAAACCGAGCAGTTCTGCCAAAGTTGTGAATCTTGTCAACAAGCGGCAAAGGCACCTCCGAGATGTTCGTGGCACCCTTGGCCCGAGTCGGAAAAGCCCTGGCAGAGAATCCACTTGGATTATGCGGGACCAATCAACAGTCAATCTTATTTGATTTTTGTTGATTCCTACACAAAATGGCCCGACGTGATTCCAGTGCAAAATCCTACTGCCCAGCACACTATCAATGAGCTGAAAAAACTGTTCCAGTAGTTTGGCACCCCGGAGATGCTGGTTACAGACAACGGAGCCCAGTTCACCTCAACGCTGTTCAGAGAATTTTGCAGGCAAAACGGAATCCAGCACAAGTTTTCGCCGCCGTACCATCCACAATCGAATGGGCAAGCCGAAAGGTTTGTAGATACCTTTAAACGTGCTCTTCTCAAAGCGGAAGGAACGAGGGTGTCACGAGATGCAATTCAGCCGTTTTTGAGAATGTATCGAAACATTCCGAATCCAAACACACCGGAGGGTAAATCTCCTTCTGAATGTCTATTTGGACGAAAAGTTAGAACGACATTTGATAGCCTGAGTCCCAGAAAGGTTGAAAAACGCAACGGACAACCGAGAAGGGGGCAAGATAACAGGCTTCGCACGTTCAAGATTGGCGACTTGGTGTATGCACGAAACTTCCAGACCCCGGAAAGATGGATTAGCAGAACGGTTAGTGGAAAGAGGGGTAAGTTATTTATGAGATAATGGCAAAACTCAAGGAGATCAAGAACCAGCGGCACCATAGTGGGACATACTACTGGATACATTTGGTTTAGAAAACAGAACTGATCCCCAAAGCGGAACACAGCCGGTCGCACAGACGCTACACGACGTGACATGCACGCCAAGTCAAAGAAGAAGGCAACCGCGATAGCTACAAGTGGACCTCAGGGTAAAAAGCTACGACCAAGCTTAAGTGCGGAAAATAGGTAGGGGCAAACAAGTTAAAGGGGAGATAATAGAGACGTAAGCGGAGCTACATTTGGGTATCGACTGAGAATTGTTCGGCCAGCAATTACCAGTCCGCGTAAAACGAGTCGAACTATACTGTCAATATGGTAAACCCGTGGAGTGGAACTCACTCACACTGGCTGAAAACCGGACGCACAAAAATGAGCGATCTTCACCTCTTAAATTAGCATGTTTTGGCTAGCTATAAATACAGTTAACTTATGGTGTAGATAGACTCCCTGTTTAGTGAGTCTTGGTCTTCTGTATTCCGTCGGTTGGGTTGGCGCGTGACTGAGAAGTCAGACAGTCGCAGTCTCATAGGGCAGCTAGCAACCGTACAACAGTCGTCAGTGGCAGAGAGCAGAAGTAAAGAAGAAGCGTTACAAGAGTAAAGTAGAAGCGTTACAATAGTAGCGTCTGAGCTACCATTGACCAACGTCCTCAGCGGCTCCAAACTCGCTCATAAACCGCCTTCAAAGAGTCAAAGCATTCCTTGTCTTGCAGAGTTCGGCGTAGCATTCCATCTGCTTCACCTTCTCCGTTCCCCATGCATTTTTAATGCGACGGAGCTCTCGGGTCAGTCGCCGTCGAATTCTGATAGACTTTCTCTTCTTTGCGAAGTCACTGGGATCTCCCACATGCGCAGCAAATGCTGTATTCTTCTCTTCAATCCAATCAAACCGCTTACAGCTTGCGCACCCGATGATCATCACGGCAGCAACTGTCACCTGGTCGCGAATGTGGTGCCACAGGTCGCCCACTGTGGCTATGCAAACCACATCACAGCCGAATAGTCATCGCCTTCTCCAGCTCAAGACGTTTCTCCACTGCACCGAGGGAGAGAATGATAAATTTACGCCGATTCAAGCCGGGAGCATAAAATATAGATTTCCGAAAATATGTGTACAGTTTGGTCCGCACCGATTCGTGATCAGTGCCACACTCAGCTCCACGCAGTACACGTGTCATGCGTACTTCACGCATGTCACGCTGACGTACGACGACATAGTCGAGCAGGTGAGGGTGACCATTCCGAGGGTGCGAAGAAGTTACTCTATCACTCGCACTCAGGGCAAACTGAGTGTTCGTGATCGTCAGGTCGTGAGTGGCACACAGTGAGAACAGCCTGTCACCGTTCGCATTCGCAGAACCAATGCCATGCGGACTGATAACATCTGTCGACACAAATGCATCACGCCTAACCCGCGCGTTGGAATCACCCAGCAGAAATAGTCAGTTGCCCCTCGGCACAGACCGTATCACGGAGGATAGCTGAGTGTAAAATTGATCACGCGTGTCATCAAGATAACACATTATCGGATCGCACGCGCTTGTAAAAGTGGCAAACTTACCTCTTCCGAGTCGTAGGCGAACAGTCATCGGTCGCGCGCTAATGCCTGTTGATTCACCGTTCCAAGTGGCCATTTAGGCGATCGGACAATGCAAATCCGACCAAATGTTCACGTGGTGCCGAGGTGGCGTTGCACACGCAGTAGAAAGTCTAGCCAACACCTATTGAGCAATGTAAGTTTCTCATGAAACTTACCTTGCTCAGCGAGCCGGGTCTCACTGAGCGCCGCAAAATCGATGTTGTATCACGCCAACTCAATCGTGACCAGTGCAGTGCGTCGCTCAGGGCGCTCACTCGAGTTCCGGTCCAGTAGTGTGCGCACGTTCCAGTACCCGATGCTCAAGGCTTTGCGAGAAGGCATGGGATTGCATTTAAGCAAGCGCACGCGAGGTGGCGGTTGTGCTTCAGGGGTTTGCTTGAGGGACTCCACCCGGAGCCTTTAGCTCAGTAGTCTGACCCACAAGGCAGTGGGGAGCAGATCCAGCTCGGGAATGTGATTGCAGAGACAGATTGGGATCTGCTTGACGGCCGTCACACGCAGCCTTTGGAGATCTGGAACGATTCATAAGTGTTTTGTGATCGCAGTAGGGTAAGCGTCTGCGACCATGGGCGAACGCAGGTGGGTTTTTGCGGGTTTGCCCCAATTTAACCAGGGATTATTTGGCTTGATGCGGGAAGTAGCAAATCATTGAGCACCCGGAGGTGCCCTCCCACCATCAGATACAATGCGTGGTGCTGGTGCTATACGACAATCGAGCTGTGAGCTTATAACTGGTAGACTTATTGTCTTCCATGTCTAGGTTTTACGGGAAGAGGGCCATCGACCATTTCCTAACATCCGAAGAGGATGGACTAGGATAATGGCAGGACGCCGACACCTGACAGGAGGGCGACTCGGGTCCTCAGCCAAAGCCTTCTACTAAACGTACACCTGAAAGCCGGTGGGTCTAGCACATGGTCAGTTCACTGACTCATGCGGATTGGTGTCCTGGATCTTAGCAGAGAAAGGGGCGTACGCCAACTCGCACCCAGAGGTCGCCACGAGGAGGAGTCCAGGACATGAGCCCATGGCACAACAGTAGCATCAGTGGGTAGACCATCTGTCAGGATCTAGCCACCAGCCTCAGCGCACCATTGGCTTTCCCGCCCGCATATGCATATACACGTCTCTATATATAAGAACTGCAAGTAATGAGCCCCGTACTGCTGTTACGTTTTCCACTTTACACGAGTTGGTTCAGGTAACAGTAACAAGGTGGCATTTTTGTAAACATTTAGAAATAAGCGCATTATTATCGATACTAAAAACATAGAATCAATTCATCCAACTGATTTTGCCACACGATCACATAACCTGCAATATCCACGGTAGTTAGTGATATCAGCGATATCAACCTCACATACGACGGCGGACGATTGCCTGACTCAAACGAACAATAATAAACGAGCGGCCTAGAGGAATGCCATCTAGCGGAGCTGCGTTGCAGGCTTGTATTCGATTTATTACCTGAAGTGGTCTAAGTAACTTAGCAATCACTAATGATTTAGGTTTAATGACTACCCATGAGTGATTAAGTAGTTGAATGATTTGATGCAGATGATTTTGGTACTAATTTAGTTTACTGTTTGAGCGATGACCGAAACATTGTACTTATTGTTACCCATAGTAAAACCGCATTTTATCTCTGGAGTAATTGCCTCCAGGTCAGGCGTAAACAAGTGAGCGTGTAAGCAAGATAAGTAGGGTGAGATAGGAAGGTAGAGGGATGATGATGAGGGAAAACAGTAAACTCCGGAACAACCCGTAGTCAGCGATAGCACTCTCGCGGTAGCACCGTCAGGAGCAGCGGAGGACGGAGAACAAGAAACCTTTGTTGTGCGAATTCAAACAATGTCAGGTATTTTAAAAGGATTCGAGGCAACCGTATTCGGTGAGACAGAAAATAGCCAAGCGACAGCTTCGTATTCCCAAATCCTAAGGGTTACGAAACGATTTTGCTGAGTTGAGTCGACTCGAATTCTTAGACATCATGAAAAAACGTGTGAGTACATTACGCATTCGGATGCACCTGCAAAGGTTTACTGTTTGATATTCATCACAAAGGCTACAAACTCACTAGTTGTCAAACGTTCAACAGTCAGTCCAGCCACTTCTCCAACGGTGCTGTAACCTGAACGGACAAGTGCCTGTAGGATGGATGCGCTAAGCGGTAGAGAGATCAGTTCGACAAATCGGGGATCAGAGAACATTAAACCAGGAGTACGCAAACACTGAAATGAGATGAAAAAAACAAAAGTCAGATAATGCGTGCATTTAAGATTGCACTGCACTTCTTGGTTCGCAATTTGGCTCTGTGGAGTGCCCCGAAAGCCCAACAATGAGAAAAAATAAAAACAAATTTTTTATCGGCGGTGGTAGAAACTGTTCCAGCATAAGGACAGGTGGAGAGCAAAAGTTGGATCAACACTGTGCAGTTAGTACAGGGAAAGAGCATAAACCGATGCGTGCCAAGTCCATAGTTTTAAAACAACAGGAACACGGGCATACGGTTCAGAGTGATAAAGGAATATCATCAGTTGTGTGAAGAGACTCGGTTATTTCTTGCGAGCACTAATTTCCGACACAGCACTCGCCGGAAGGTGACTTGGCGCCCACCAGCCTCGAACTCGCGTTGGACGCAGATCGATCACATTGCTATTAGTTACCGCTGGAGAGGCTGCGTCCAGAACTGTCGCTCGATTTGGAGCACATGTGTGGACACCGACCATGCACTTGTATGTGCTGACATGCGGATGCGTTTTGGCGGCCGCCCAAGACGACGTTGTGAGCGCATTGACACCAGCCAACTGGCGAAACCAGCTGTCCTGAATGGCTATCAAAGTACGCTGTCATGTGAGTTGAGTAATCGCTCACCGGATGCAGTTAAAGCTCACTGGTCTCATATTCACCAGTCCTTACTAGCAGCAGGAAAAGCCTCATGTGGTAAGTCTAATCGCCAACATGGACATTGGGTCTCTTCACAGTCTCTGGAACTTATCGATGCTCGCCGGCATATTCCGGCTGGAAGGGAACACAGTGAGACTCGCATAGAGCTCCCGGAAAAACTCCGTGCTATCTTGAAGAGAGGCCGCGAATCCTGTTGGTCTCATCGTCCATCAGAGATTGAAATGGCCGCTGCCCTTAGTAACGATCCTAAGTTATTCCGACTGATACGGGATACGAGCAGCAGAAGACCTGGTGTTAGAGAAACAATTTGTGACGAGAGTGGACAGCCTATACACAACTTGTCAAAACGCTTGGAGCGTTGGGCTGAGCACTTTGAAAGGCAGTTTAATCAGTCAAAACTGTTAGGTTTCTCGCCGGCCACTGACCGCCTCGCTCCCAGGGTTGTCCCTTTGTATGCGCCCTCTCGCTCAGAAGTCGAATGCCACATCGAACGGTTGAAATTAAATAAAGCCGCGGGACCAGATAATCTTCTTTCAGCCCTCTTCAAATTCGGGGCACCTGCTCTGGTGGATGAAATACACGAGCTACTAGTGAAACTGTGGGAGCAGGAAATTGTCCCAACCGACTGGAGGCGCTCCGTCACAGTCCCAATTTTCAAGGGAGGCTCACGATCGGAATGCGGCAACCATAGAGGAATCAGTCGGATCTCCATCGCCTCCAAATTGCATGCCTCTGTCATCATTCACAGACAGAGTGGCACTCTTGAAAACTATATTCGTGAAGAGCAAGTCGGTTTTCTACGAGGTCGTGGCTACATTGACCACATCTTCACCTTGCATCAGTCGTTGCAGCACCGTCACATTTATTCGCAGCCCACCGTTGGTGTGTTTCACGATATCAAAGGTGCATCGATTCGGTGGATAGATGTGCACTTTGGGACTGTCTACTCTGTAAAGTTGTGCCCGAGACATATGTAAATATTATCCAAGCATTATACACAAGTAGCTCGGGCAGAGTGAGGGCTTACGACCAGCTGTCATTGCCATTCAATAGCTCCAACGGTGTGAGACAAGGATGCCCGCTGTCCCCTTTCCTCTTCAACTTCGCTATTGACGAACTCATGGAAATCGCGTTCACAGGTCACGACTTAGAATATGTGGATGTGCTCCCAGGAGAATGACTTCTTGTCTTAGAGTATGTAGAAGACATTGCCCTCATCTGTGACAGCTCACAGACGTGCCAAGCTGTACCGGACAGATTAGCATTGGCTGTACGTGAATACGGGTTTTGCTTCGCACCTTCGAAGTGCAAAGTGTTCCTCCAATATTGGCCTGGACCGCCTCCTACGCTGACCCTTGGTGGGGATCAGCTAGAAGTGGCACAAAAATTTAACTTCTCGGGAAGTCGTATGAGCGCCCGTGGGATTGAAGATGAGATCATGAACCGTATAGCAAAAGCTCGAGGCGCTTTTGCTAACCTTCGCAATTTATGGCGCGGACGCGACATCACTCTCGCCCTGAAGGGTAGAGTGTACAATGCAGCGGTACGTTCGACCCTACTGTACGGTTGTGAAACCTGGCCCCTTAGATCAGCGGACATAAAGAGGCTAGTTACGTTCGACCACCGGAGCCTTCTCAGTCTGGATCACATCTGGTGGGAACACCGCGTGAGCAACCAGCATGTTCGACACCTTGTTGACGACACAGGAAAAGGAACTGAACGGCTCAGCACCGTTATTTCACGCACCAGGCCCCGATGGCTCGGCCACGTGTTACGCATGCCAACCCACCGACTTCCGCGACGTAGGTTGTTTGCGCGCCGGTGGTGTGGATGGAAGGAGAGGCCAAGCGATGACTTGGTCGAGAGAGATGAAAACCCTCACTTCGAAGCTGGCCTCAGTTGGAGCGTCTCGGCTTCTTGGTTGGGGTCTGAAAGACGATGAACATGTTTGGCTGGATACACTTGTTGATATCGCTAGGAGCCGACCTCAATAGCGTTCGTGCTGTGAGTTTCTTTGTCCCACCCCATCCCTCTTAGCTTCCCGCCCCCAACCATGATTTCACTACTTAGCCTTCTATAATTTCGCATAATAAATATTTTGCTGCACAGTAACCGGCTGGTAGCATACCGGAACGATGCCTATCCGTTACCGGTAGCTCGGCTGGCATGCATCTTTTGCACTTACCCTTTTTTTCTTTTATGCATTGCCGTACGATAGCTGAGGTGCTTCCCACCTCTAGCTAAAGTGTATAATAATAATAATAATATAATAATAATATATCCGGGCATAATTGTACGATGTAAGCACTCAATAAGTACGGCCAGGGCCACGTCCACCCTCAAAACTGTTCCAAAATTTCAGGAGGTCGATATTGGTAGTGGTTGGAACACGGTTGCTCCCAAAGACAACCGGTAACTAAGGCCTTCAGTTACTCTCCATAGTCCCAAATTAAGTGAGGAAGGCGAAGCTGTACTTATACAGCCTTCACCGGTTGCATGTAGACCAGCTGGGCGGTTGACCTCGACCCGGGCAGCACATTCTCTGCCATCAGTAATCCGCCCCAAGGTTCCAAAATCGACGACAAATTCCTTAAAAGGAAAACCTCAGGATCATGTGATACAGTGAAATCTCATATGCGACATCACAGGTAGTAGTTTAGCTCGTCAACTCGACACGTGTCACCCAAACTCAGAGAACTACCGTGAACCGAGACTTCTCCGAGTTGTAATGACTTCCGCCAATGAAGCAGAAGCTGTCCTGTTATCGACAGCTCGCCTCCGGAATGAGTTATGTTCCATCCGCATCTGTCAGGATATTCCGTGGAGTGAGCGCAAACAGGCAAAGCACGAGTTAGAAAAATACCGACAAGAATCTATAGCCAGGACCATAATTGTACACGGTGTTCCCGAGGCTGAGAGCTTTGATGAGGGTGAAGCGACCACTCACGACCAGGAATAGTAGCGCTACATTCGAGATTCTCTCTCTGGAGAATGTCATAGCGCAATCGATCTCGAGGTTGTGCAGATCGCCATATTACAAAAGAGGTGGACTGAGGATTGTGAAAGTGGTACTTCAATTCAGATAAATGTCAACGAGGGTGCTGTAGTGCTGGTATGCGGGTAGCAGCAGCCTTCCTTCCGAGGTTCGGATCAAAGCAGCGTCCGCTAAGTAAACACATGAGAGCAGTTCAAATATCACTCAGCTAGCCAACGAAACTGACAAATGCCTCATACATTACATACAAAGAGAGGAGCAAAGAGGTAAAGGCTGGATCTCCAGATTTGACATAAATGAGTTCGTCAACGCCCTACCCAAAAACGATTAGTGGCTGACCTCTCACCGATCGGCACAACATTACACCAAAGACACCGCCCCCCGACTCATTGCTGAGAACAGCGAAAATTTCTTGCATATACACCAACGCACAACGCCTCCTGCACAAGCTTGCCAAATTGAGGCTACGTCAAGCATCATGCGTGGGACCTTATATTAGTAATTTAAACTTTGTTGCACTCAGAAATTACGGACGGCGTAGTTGTGATACATGGTATGTCCCTTCTTCGAAATGATCGCTCAAGGTAGTGCTTTAGGGTACCTTCGTACTCTTGCAGTGACCTGCAGTGCAAACCGGCGGACAATTCGGCAACGCGGATCATAGACTCACTCCGCAGCAACATGCGACTGAGACGCAACGACAATTGCCTTATGGCAATTGTTTATGTTCCCCTAATGTTCCCCACCCCAGATATGGACTGCCGCCTGATATTAGCTTTGGGGAAGGTCCTACGACAACGATACATTCATGTTCTCATCTCAGGCGAATTCAATGTTCGCAAGCTGGAAAATTCGGCATCCCCGAGCAAGCAATTCAAGGACAATCTGAAAGTTTATTGCAAGCATTCCGCTTTTTCATCCATGTCATTCTACCCATCCGATTCAAAGCGGGACATAAGACATCAGTGCTCAACATAGTGCTCACGAACGAAGAGTTCATGATCAAAAAGCTAACGATGGAGAGTCCTCTGGGTCTGAGTGCTCAAGTAACCATACTTGACGACTGTGTTAGGCGGAGTATCTACACACTACGAGATATTAAAAGAATTTGTTGGAGACGTCATCCAGGAGTTCTCGGACAACTGTTCCACTGGCAGTGCCTGGACGGAGTTTGCTGGTAATTTCAGTTATTTGATTAAACCCGTGGTGCATGATACGTGGGGCGCACTACGACATGCCAATCTCAGAGGAGTTGCGAGCACATTCCGGCGAGGTTTTACAGAGCGGAAATAAAGTCTTCAAGCAACCCAATCATGTCCCACCCATTTG